GGATTACTGCCAATAAACCTTTCAGGTGTCACATTGTAATATAGCCTTTGAATAGATATATCATCTTTTTTCTTCTTTTTTGATAATCTTTATTCTTTTCTTGTTGCTAATATAATTTTCTGGAAGCCGTTGAGCAACTGATGTCTTTCTCCTATTAACTAAATTATGACGAGACATAAAACCATCAACCATTTTTGAGAAAATCTTGCTTCTTCTATATCTGGATATACTGTTTTATATGTTGGCAATCCGTGAAATGAAACCATAGAAATATTATTTTTCACCAGAACTTTGAGACTAATATCTTTTAGAGTAATATCACATCTTATAACTATAATCTCCTTATAGGTGAACAACTAATATTATTATATGTACAATTAGTTATGTTCTATTAAAGTTTATAAGGTTTAATGTATAACAAATTAATATTATATTTTTTGTATACATTATTTTTTTAAATACTTGTAATTAAACTAAAGCAATTTTTTTATAATCACCAATAGTTTTATAAATATTTAATATTTTTTAACAATTGCCTTGTATAAAATAAAGAAATAAGGGTATAACATCTGTGAATTCAATAAGTAATACAATTCATGCATCTATATAAAATATTTTTTAGAGAGTCTTTTTAATAAAAACTAGAAAATGATCAATTATCGGAGCTTTTTTCCAATAATTTTTCATAAGGCATCAAGCAAATCGCTTGTGGATTCACCATTACGCAACCTCAATAATATGATTCAGAGAGGTATATTTATTATCAAAAGATAAAATTAATTTAGAAAATTAAAAAGGAAATTTTGGAAAACAACCTTTTAGTTATGAATTTATATTGAAATTCAAAGGATGCACAGCCAGTGCACAGCCTATGATTTATATTACTGTACTGTTTATTAGTTTATTATGCAATGTTTACTTAATTGGTTACTTTGCCTCATTATTATGCATGGCTTATATTATAACGTTAAATGTAATTGGTCAATAAGTAAAGCCACATGAAATGTTTACATATTTTGTAATATTTGAGCCATATGAAATGTTTACATAAAGCCACAATGAAATGTTTATGTAAAGACTGACATAATTGAGCATATGTGTTTAAAGTTTCTTTATTAAAAAATTTAAGAATTTTGTTTGTGTATTTGATTGGTTAAATATCATGTAATGGGATTGTTATATCCTCTATACTCAATTCTAACAGCATTGATGTTTTTTAATAAAGTTCAATTAAATATCTATAATTTACCAACTTGGCCTAGGGATAGAAATAGCTCATTTTGTTCTATTTTGATTCTCTATTGGCTCTGCAGCCTCTGCTTCAGTTTTCATTAAGCAAAATATGAGTGCGTCGAAATTTGAGATGTCAATTGGAAAAATCATTCGGTTTGACAATTTTTTTTTGAAAAAGATTCTTCATATATATACAGTTTATGCTCATCTTTAAAATTTTATTGAATTTGATTTTCTTTATAAATGTTGAATAAAAATATATTAGAATAATAACAATGACAATGAAAGTAAATTAGTCCAACCGTATACAATAAATTATTGAGTATATTACACATCAATTGACTTTTGGTTTTTTTGATTAAAGAATAATTTGCCTAATAAAAAAAGTGTTTAAAGACAAAAAATAACAATAATATTTTTTTGTTACATAATAATGAGTAATCGCTATTTTATTGCATAAAATAGTTTTAGTAGATACAAGTGAACGAATTTTTTCTGGTGGAAATGACCTAATAGCGGCTAATGCCAACTTAAAGCAAACATAATTCGTGCATGTATTTAAAATCCCTAATATGATTCAATTATAGTAATAAATTAAATGTTCCTGGTATATTTAAATTAGGTAAAATGAAGTAAATAGTGTCCACTATATGATGCTATGTTAAATTAAAATTCGGTATAATTATTTCGATTATTCACGGCAATCAATTATCTATAATTATCTACTTTACTATAGTCGATACTGCATGTCGCAATGTCGCATCTATAAGAAAGAAAGAATCAAAAGAGTCTGCAGATAATAGAAAAAAAACAACAAAACTATAATATCTGTGTCATTATGTTTTAATATAATCCTGCTTCTAGATAATTTTATCTTTGACCTTATTTTACCGTTATTTCGATTTAAAAAAAACGAATTTTTGTTGAAAATTGGAAATCAATAAAATGAAATGCATTTTGTAACGAAGTATGATGTACTATAAAAATTTTAATAATTAGAGAAAAAAATAATTCCAATAATCGATCTAATAAAGTTTTGCAATAACTAATATAAAAATTATCTAATTGTAATTTAAAATAAAGCTCCGCATGAGCGGCTCGAGCCGAGCTGAGCCAAAATTCGAGCCAACCCCAAGCCAAGCCCAGCCAAGCCTTAAGGTAGCTTGGCTCGAGTCGGGCCGGACGATTTAATAGATTTTAAATGCGAAGTGATCAGCTGATGATCACCTGATCACCTGCGCAAATATCATTTTTGCTTAGTCCCAGAGCTCGCGAGCCGGCTCATAGCTCGTGAGGCAGCTTGAACGAGCTGCATTGAAACTTGGCTCGAATGAGCCGAGCTCAACTAATTGCGAGCCGTGACTCGGCTTGGCTCGGCATACCCGGTTCGCGAATCGCGAGCTGGCTTGAGTCGACGGCTCGTGTGGAGCAGTTGGATTTACAAATGCGTAACAAAAACAGGTTAATAAAACTATATTTGCACGTATATTAACAGAGCCAATTTCCGTTTTTTTTTTCATTTACGCCCAAAACTTATGATTCTGACAATGAAAACGCGTAGAAAATACTTAAACAATATGTATGTTAATCCTCAAGAACCCTTAAATTACGATACATACATTAGAGATATCAAATACGGCAATAGAGAGAACGTGTGAATTGCTAAAAGCAATAAGAGTAATAATGGGGGCTAAATGCAAGAAATTACACAGGTTTCAGAGACACAGAAGGAAATGGAATCGACACGCAATGTTACCGGAGTTTCATGACGGAATGCTAAGAAAGTAAAAAAATTCAATTCCAAATTCGAAGACACAACCATGAATCTACCAAAGACATACTAAAAATTGGAATGATCAAGAATTTAAGTACCTAAATTCCAAAGAAGAAATCGAATATGTAAAAATATGATTAGAACGACTGAAATACGCGAAATACATGCGTATGACATTAAAATTAATAAATCTCTGGAAGTTAATGGAGTACGCAGCCAGTCTCGATAAGCCGAACTCATCAGAAAATCCGATGTATCAAGAAATCTGACGTACCGAAAATAATTTTACTATTGCACTGTAAAAATCGGTTCAGAACCAACTCCAGTATATCAAAGGTTTCGATTTATCGAAGATCCGGTCTCGGTTTATTGGATTGCCCGTGTACTTGTGAAATAAATCAACGGTCAGTTTCACTTCCAACATAAATATAGTGAGTAACTTAGGTTACGAACCAGGATAATAATATATCTTACGTACGTGAACGTCTCGTGTGCATTTCATAGTATTTCCAATTAGGTTGTACTAGATCATTTTTTTTTCTTTTGGTATGGTCTGGTTTCGTACTTCTTTTGGTTAAGAGTTAACTAGGCATTTTGGTAAATCCATAATCATAGTTTTATAATCTTTTATCATTACAGTTTATAATTATGTAATTTTTAAATATTCGATCTTTTTGCATTTGGTAAAGTTTATTACCTACCCGCTAAAATATTAAATAACTTTAGAATTAATAAACAATAACCAATAATATGATAAGTAAATTAATTTGTAATACAGATTCCAATATATATCATATAATGCTAAGTCTGTTACAAATTTTTGAAGGAGATGCGGAAGTGCGGAACATTATGAAATACGACTTTCCATTCTTTTTTATGCACATAAAATTATTACAAAGAAATACTCACGTCTGAAAGTCCAGGTTTTAAAAAAAGGAACATATGCAAAGTTAATCGGATTGTATAATTGTGCACTTTACTTTAGGGATGGTATTGGTGTCAACGCTGAGCCAATTCCAAATTTAGTATTTCCTGAGCTTGTCTCATTTAACCAATTTTAAAACGGACTCCGAATCAGCCCGTATGTTCTACTTAACAATATAACTTGAGGTTCCTATTTTTAATTCTTAGCGATCCATCCCTACATTCCCTAGAAGATACAGTATATATATATATATTAGTTGATCGTGCGTGCATTGAGTTTATACTTGTGTCGCAATGCATTCTCGTGTCGCAATGCATTTTTTATGATTCTAAATAACTGGCGTTAAAGGAATCACAGGTTTGCTTTTTATAATAAAGGAAAAAAATTTTAGTACAGAGCGTTTCATGCAGCATCAATTTATGATTAATTGCTTTCTTCTAAACTCATCGAATATATAGCAAGGCGGGTAAAGGTACCCATCCTAAAATTTTATGTTCATCAATAATTTTGACAGTTTATAATTTAATTTGTCATGATATATATTTTACTAGAATATACTGTATCCACATAGTTTGTGAAATCTTTGTGTCGTTCGTTAATGGTGTTAACTCGGAAGATTTTTTTTTTTTAGTAAGTTGATTGATTAACTTTAATTTTATGAAAAGAATCTTTTGAATTTTTTTATTAAATACCTATAACATATTTTAAATTTTTATTATAAACTTTAAATTGGAACGAAATACTGGTTGGCAGAAAATGCATGACAAAAAAATTGTCAAGGAATATACGATATGTTTTTTATTTTGTTATTTTTTCTTTATTAGTTTATTTTCAATATTTTTTGATACATTATTTAATATAATAATACTATCTATTACGACATCATTTCTCCAACAATCATTTCACCAAACAGTTCATTTTGAATTAAATGATTTTTTGCTCATGACAGGCTATGTAAATACTTATAATTACTAAATTGAAAAATATTAAAAAAAAAAAATTTTTTTTTTTTCATAAGAAAGATATAATAATATATTTTAAAATTATTATATGTGTTGACGAGATGACCTGTTGGTGAGATGATCATGTCGGCGAAACATTTGATTGTCGGTGAAGTGGTTATCGGCGAAAAGATTGTTGGTGAATTAATTGTCGGTGAGTCAAATGCGTCCCATGGTATAGTCTAATTTAAAGTACAACTAGAGAACGGCAACCTTTGTTAAGTCCGGACTCCGGAGCGATAAGGCACGTGATCAAATAACACATAATAAAGATATGTGTATATTAACACTCCCATCTTTACCGAAATCCACCAAGGAGATTCGAGAAACTGGTCACCTAAAATAAAGAAAAAAAAATAACGAAGCATTAATGATCATTTTGTTAAAATTTTTTTTTTTAAAAAAAAACCCGATAACACCTGAGGAACCAACCGCTTAAAAAAAAGAAAGAAAATAACGAAATGTAAATAAGAGAGAAGTTGGTTAGTTGTTTGATAATTATTTGTGTCATGTGATTGTCATCTTTAATAACCATTTCGTTAAAAAAGATGAATTAAAAGCCGAAGAGTCAAAAACCGACCGCCTACAAAATAAAAAAGAACTAGTGTATTATAGCAAAGTTCATTAAAATAAAAAAAAAACAAAACTAATAATATTACATCAGATCGTGTGGTTAGCCATCGAAATTCTACGTATCGTCTAAAAAAAAGACAACAAACTGTTAGAAACAGTTCGTTAAAAGGAAAACGAAAAAAGTCTAAAAAAGGTAAAGTCCGCACAAATTCTACGCGTAAAAGACCTTTTTTTCATTAGCACTGCTGGTAACTAAGAGGTTCTTTCAGTCTCTGTTTGGATTTAAACGTCATCAACCATCTAAAAAAGGGAATAATTGAAAGTTTCGTTAGAATAAATACGAAAAAAAAATATATTTCTAGATTTCCTCACCAAGATTCTGTGTCAAAAGAGCTAAAAAGCAACCATCTAAAGAAAGAAAAAAAAAGAACGTTAAAAACCTTTCATTAAGATAAAAAAAAAATTAAGAAAAAAAAAATAAAAGATTACTGAAATGTCACGTCCGGGAAGACTAAAAGGACAAAAAAATCGAATGTTTTGTTAAATAATTTTTCAACGGAAAGTAAGAGAGAAGGGGGGGAAGGGAAGAGAGAGATCGAAGGAAAAGGAAAGTGAGAAGCTTTTTTTCTTTGTACGACTTATTTGTTTTGATTATAATGTGACGTGACATTTGCAGTCAATCTATATAATGAACATGATACATTTGCTTACCAGCACATAACATATGTATTGTATGCACCGACTCACGAAACCGATACGAATAGTATATAGTCCTTCGCTTCGCTCCGGACTCGTTGACTTAACAAATTTATTTTATTCGAGTAAAAAAAAAAATCTACTTAAAAATAAAACATAATCTTAGAAAATCGTTTTTAGAAGCAAAATAAATATTTCCGAACCTTGATTAATTAGTTATATAGAATTTAAGTTTCTACTATAGTAAATGGAATTACTATGTAATAAATATATTATTGATGATACATATATCCTCATTAAACTTTGCGATTTCTGCTTTATCTAAACATCCGATGGCTCAGGATCATCACAGATGGCAGCAACCTATTTTTCCAATAAAGCGGATGTTAATGGTCATTCAAATGGATCTTTACCTAAACATTTTCCCATCAATTGAACATAAATAGGTGGTGTCTTACCCAGCGGGTTTGGTCTTGATCCGAAAACCACATCATTAATTAACGAACGAACGATTCTAGTATCATAATAAGGACGAACACATTATCATACCAAAACTGTAAATATCGGAAGCTTGAGTTTGTTTACTTCTTTCCTTTCAGGAACAACAATGGTATAACCCAAAATTTCTTCTGAATATGTGTTAAATTAAATAGTTCATGTAAACTTTGTCAGTGGATCTCGCATCCAACATCCACCCTATAAAAATTTTTCAGAAAAATGATCACGTGTCTGAGTTTCTTCGGAATGAAAACTAGGCCATCATGTTCAACTAAAATGTTTACCTCCATGTAAATTTCCATTAACGAGTCCTAACTCATGAATTTTATATAATCCTGACGAAATTAACCACAGGAGATTGACAATTTCTCTCAGACCAAAATAATTATCATGTGTTTCGAGAAAGGATATATATCCTCTGATATAATTCCTGAAGACGATTACTATTATACTGAAGCAATCCTTGCTATCCAGACATTAACTATTTATTTAATATTAAATTTAAATTTAATAAATAATTAATTATTTTAAAAGTAAGCTAATAGCAAAGATTTAAACACCTACTTGATTAATAAAGTGATCACTGAGATCCCATGAATTATCCAATTGTTTAAATGACTACCACGTATCCATAATTCCATATCTATCTCAATACCATCATCCTAATTTCCAGGGTGAACCTTCCATCCAAATAGCCGAGTAAATCGTAGAAAATGAACATTGAACAATTCTTACGGCATGCCTTATAAGATCAAATTGAGAGAAATCCACTCAAGATAGCGCATGCATTCTTTAGCGGATTGTTGCGTATTCTTGATCAGATTATCCTTCCGCCAGACCAATTTTTAAAATTTTCTACCAAATATGCATCACCACGAATACGAAATCCTTTTTTTTTTATCACAGTTTGGACATGTTCCATAAATATTAGATAAGTCCAATATGTATATCTGAGTGAATAGCGTATAAGAAAAGATGTGTGTAAAAAATATAAATTATCTTATAATGCTCAAACAAACCAAAATGTGAAATAGGGGATATGAATGCAATTCCGAGTTAATACAATGAATATATTAAAAATATAAAAATTATATATATTTCTTTTTTAAAATACCAGAATTATACTGCGAACTTATTGTAATTATTCGTATTATTCATGTAATGCATGTGATTTTTTCTTTTTATCTTCTTAGAATAGAAAACGTTGATAGCCTTTTATTTTGAAAGACGTATTAAAAAATAATGATGTATACTATTTTGGGATTTATTGGAGTACGATCGATATTTAGTTGGCCAGTGACATTTGCATATGTGGATCTTTTATGACATACAAAAGTATACGTAAAATTTTTATTGAAAAAAATTAAAAAAATTCCGGAATTCCGCGATACAACTTCTGAAATTCTTTTTTTTTTAAAAAATCAGCAATATTTTTTCTTTTGAGAAAAAGAGAAAAAAATGATACATTTTTGTCATATGATTCATTTGGGCTAATATTTTTTTTTTTTTAACAAAAAAAAAAAAAAAAATTTTGTAAAACTATAAAATAGATTTCTTGGCATGTTTAAGTTTAAATGACATAATTGTTTATTTCTGATTCTATAAATTGATTTAAAAAAAAATTTCATATATTTTTATAATAACGACACAAAAATGGGTTTTTTGACCCTTATTCTTTGTCTTTTTGTAGAATTTCATTATTCTATAAGTTGCATATCATACGATTATGACGATCCTCTTGTTTTCTTTTTATGGTTTGTATAATTCCTTTTTAGAAGCCTATAATAAACATATGGAATCTCTTTACCTTTCGTCGTTAAAAACCCAAAAAGGTAATAGAAAATTTAACAATCCGGGCTGCATTAAGATTTTTTTTGATCTGCATCATTATTAATAATCTTGCCCAGAATTAAAAAAAAAAGGGATGATCTTCATATTTTATTTTATCAATATATGCAATTTACTCTAATTTTTGGGGGGCAAAATTTTACAATATATTATTTATATTGGACGTATTATATAATGAGATTTTATTTACTGGTGATAATGAGACAAAATTATCATTAAAACGAAAAAGTATTTATCAAAAAAAAAAATAATAATTTTATTATTAAATTTTAAGTCATGAATGAATAAACAAAATTTAAATTACTTTTAAGTAATAACAATATATATTCTAAACTATCAATATATAATAAGTCATGAATGAATGAACAATAATTAATTAATAATTAAGTTCCAGCTCATTCGAAGCGATAAGAGCAATTAATATTAATTAAATATGAAGAATTTTATCTAAATTATAAATATAATAATTCTTAAAGTATTTAAACAATTGGAATTTTTTAAACTTTTTATTTATTGCACTTTTTAGTCGGCCTCTTCCACAAGAAGGACTTTGTGGAAGCACTTTTGTAAATCGGTTTTGAGCCTCTGTATAATCTAATTATTCTGCGCTCTTCAAAGCCCAGAATAATCTTTAAATGTCTACATTTTCAATAGGCTATCATCAATCATTAGAAATTGGTTTCCCCCGATATTATTGGAGAGTGGAGAAATCAACTCTGAAAAATTTTTTGAAAATATTTCAGTGAATTTCTTTTCAAAAATTAAAATATTTCGAGATTTTAAAGAAAGCAACAATAAAAGAGTGGCGAGATTAATGTTGTAAAAGGAGGAAAAGGAGATTTTGTGGTGATGTTTAAATGAGTGTAATAATAATAAGTGTAGTAAATAGGACATGAGTATATAATTTGAAATTTTTATAATATAAGTGAATATAATTTTGAGATTTTTGTAATATAATTGAGTTTTCTAAATTTTTGTTTTTCTTGATTTTTTGCATTTTTTGGTTTTTGCTTGAAATTTCAGAGCCTTTTTATAAGAAAACACTCGCGCGTTCGTAAAATAAAAATATTTACGCGTGTTACATATATAATATTACGTAATTCTTTGAAAGAAAGAAAGTTCTGTCATTACGTCCTTTTGTGATTGTACGTAATCGTCTGACGTAATTCTTTGAAAGAAAGAAAATTCTATCATTACGTCCTTTCGTAATTGTGCATAATCGTCTAATGATTACCTCCTTTTATGATTGTGCGTAATCGTCTGTAATTGTCTCAAGTGTAAGGGTCCCCTTGTGATTTTTTGGGAGAAAACTCGCGTACATAATATGTAATTTTTTGAAAGAAAGGTTTGCGATTGTCTTTGTTATTATTGTTATTATAAATTTGTTATTATTGTTATTGTAAATTTGTTATTATTGTTATTATAATTTGTAACATTAAAATTTATTTTAATTTTCTTTCGTCGAATTCTTCGTTTAAAATTGGGAACGATTAACTTTTGAAATTCCTACAAAAGTGGAATTAACTACAAAAGTGGAATTAATTTTCCAAAAATAAAAAATTGACAAAAAGCAAATGTATTATGTATGACTAATTTTTTTTTTTTTTTCAAAATAATAATAATTTGATAAATTAAAATTAAATTTTAACCTGGTAACACTCGGATTTGAAAATCCGGATACATCCCTGTTTTTCATTCTTTTTTAAGTAATAAATGAACTTTTTATATAATAATATTTATTATGTTTTATTTAAAAAAACAATATTTATTATTACTACGCCACTAGGCTTAAAATAAAAATCACTGTTGTTGAAACGAACCATATTTAGCACGATCAGAAAATTTTATCCGTAGCTCATTTCTATTTATGGGCAAATGGCTTAATTAGTTGCATAATCGTTGACCCATTAAAAAAAAAAAAAAAAAATTCTTTGTTGTTTCATGCAGGTAGATCAGGTTTTTATTTGGATCATTAATCAAAAAGTTTTTTGTTCCCAAATTTAGTAATTAATTGTAATATTATTTAATAAATATGTGCCAATATTTCTTTTCTCTTCTGATAAAATTTTTATTAATATAAAAAAAAAATTTTTTTATTACTTCTACAAACTTTTTTCGTCAAATTCTTATATTTACTAAATACTATAATTATTTACGTATCAAAAATTTATGTTCTTAATAACAAAGAATTATTAAAACAAAATTTTGTTATTTTCTTATACACCGATAAATATACAACGCTTCGGGGTTCGACCTGACATTGTCCGTTGCAGAGAGTTCAGTACCCGACTATCTTTCGCTTTTTTGTTTTCCCTTTCCTTTTCGCTTCCCCTTTTCCCTTTCATTTTCCTCTTTCCCCTTCGTTTTCCCCTTTCCCTTTCGCTTTTTTCGTCTTTCCTCTTCGTTTTCCCCTTTCCCCTTCGTTTTCCCCTTTCCCCTTCGCTTCTCCTTTTCCTTCGCTTTCCCCCTTTTCCCTTCTCTTTCCCCTTTCCCCTTTGCTTTCCTCTTTCCCTTTCATTTTCATCTTTTCCCTTTTCCTTCGTCCATTTGTTACGGAATCTCTGGAGCAATTCCCAAAGTGATTTGGCTGTCATTGTACGATATGTGCAGCGCCTTCAGATTGGCTTTGACTGAGACGAATAAATGGAATATAATTCGTCTTCCATTTTTATGGGAAAATCCATTTCATGGGAAGACAATTCCTACTCAACATTATCATGCTCGACTCGAAGGGCAACCGCAATGGAATCTGTCTCATTTTATGGGAAAATCCATTTCATGGGAAGACAATTCCTACTCAACATTATCATTCCCGGCTCGAAGGGCAAACGCAATGGAATCTGTCTCATTTTCATCGGATCATACTTCATATGAATGTGATCTTACTTCATATGAATAATCCGATGTTCAATTTAAAGGTGTTGATCACCTTTGTCTATTGAACATTCTCCCTTAGTGGCTTAGTCCCATCTAAGATTATGGTGGAAATCCTTTCCCCGAATCATATTCGGAGAATGAAGGCATCAGGCCTAACATATACGTAAATAGAATAGCACATATGATATTTTGAAATAAATAGTAATATAATTAAAACTTTATACTTTATATGCAATTAAAAAAATAAATAGTACTTGTTATTAAAAATGTACACCACAGTACTGCAACGAAATCAATTTCATTTTCATCGGATCATACTTCATATGAATGTTAAGGATTATGAGATTCAGTTGATCCGATGTTCAATTTAAAGATGTTGATCACCTTTATCATTATGGTGGAAATATAAAATAATCGCTGCTCCAATAATCGTTAATCCGCAAATCCCCCGAATCATATTAGGAAAATGAAAGCATAACATATACTCCTGGTGAGGTGAAGTAAATAATATAATTAAAACTTTATACTTTATATACAATTAAAAAAATAAATAGTACTTGTAATTAAAATTGTACATCTACAAATTATAACATTAAATTCTAATTTGAAATAAATAATATAATTAAAACTTTATACTTTATATACTTTATATGCAATTAAAGGTTTATTCATAATACTTTATTTAACGGATGTTCTAGCAACGTCTAATATTATTAATAAAGGTTATTTTTTTTTTTTTAGAAAAAAAGGTCTATTCATATTCACTTGTTAGATTAATATATTGGATGGTAGAAACTATAAATTTTGAAGGAATTTATTTTATTTTTATTTTTAATTTTATGTAAAATAAATTTCGAAGGAATATCGTCAGTAGTATTGTATATCACTTAACCATAAGGAAGAATTAAATGATACCCAGAAATATAATTACAGGGGTAGGGTAAACAGATGCGTCGGATTGTGTCGCCATGACGCCATCATATTGGAATTAGACGGAGTAAAGTTTTGATTTGCGTACAATTTAAGAATTTTTCATCCATAGTTAGGTCATCATTTTTTTATCAAAATTTTTATATGTAAAAAATTATATATATATATATATATAATATATTTATTATACGTTAACCGAAAGAAATTTCTAAGGGTTAAAAAGTGAAATTTTAGAAAAATATTATTGAAAAAAAAATGGTAAATTAGAATAAATTCTATTTTTTTCACATTAGTATTTGGTTTTATAAATAATATAGAAGTCATGATAAAATAATTTATAACTTAATGTCTGAAATTTTATTTGCATATTTTTGCAGGATTTTCAATATCCAAGTATCAATTATGCGTACTGCGTACAGCTCATAATTAAAAAATTTTTCGCCACTTTACCCTTATATATATATATATTTCTGGATCTATGATATATATTTATGATTTATTTCATATGTGGTATAATAAGAATTAAAAAATATCCTGTTTATTATCAGAAAATTTAGTGCCAAATATACAATATTATATATAAACAATTAAAAATTCTAAAAAAAAAACAGCGCCATACTTTGATTTATAGACATATTACTATCTATTATTTTCACTGTTTCCTCTTCTTTCTTTTCTTCTTCCTAATAAAAAAGAAAAAAATTTAATTATTTTTAAGAAATAAATATTATTATTAATTTTTTTTTTTTTTAAGAAAATTTACTTACTTCGTGCTCTTACGTTTCTTCTTCTTTGTGTAATGGTGGGCGTATCCATTGCAACATCATGTTGATCAGCTAAAGTAATAATACGATATTAAAATACTATATATATTTATTATTCAATAAAAAATTCTACATTCTTACGAGGTCCTTCCCAGAAACGTGTTTTAAGTTCATTAAAAAATATTCTATATGCTTGAATTCTCTTTCTCCTTTGATCATTAGCTTCATAACGGTCTATATTCTGAAATATTAAAAATCTATCATTAATAATAATTCGATAATATAATAATTAAATGTTTTATATATAAACTTACTTTATATACAGTAACTAAATTATTAAATTTACGTTTACATTGGTTTCCCACGTAATTAGAATTACAAATATTATTCAGTCGGTTTGCAATATTATTCCAATATGCACGTCTCAAACGTTCAAGTATATTCCAGTATAACTATATAAAAATAATAATTATATTTGTTCATTATTATTATTCTATTATTATTTATTAGTAAATTAGAATAAAAAATATTTACTTGATTTGTGTTTTGTCTTAGTTTAATTAAAGTATGGATTTCTTGTTGACTCCAAACCATTGCTTTTAAAAATTTAATTTGATAAAAAAAAAATAAAAAAAAAAAATTTGTACGTTATCAAAAAAGAAAGAATTAGTAATTTTTTTTTTTTTTTTTTTTGATATTTATAATCTAATGCACGAAAATTTTATAAAAAACCTGAAAAAAGTCTTGTTTTTTCCTCTAAATAATTTATAAAATCACAAGTAAGTCAGTCTTGTTAGAAAGTATTTTCGCAGAAATTAGAAAAAGTTTATAAATGCTAATATAAATTAAGTTACATAACTTATCAAATTTTGTGGTTACACGGCCGATCAATATTCGCAACATAGCCACCCAAGTAGATTGATTAATCTAGCTAGAATTTTGAATAGAAATCTTTTAGACGCTTTCTTCGGATCGACCAATGAACCTGTTTTTCTATACTACATTACTTGATGACGTAACACGCACTACGCCACACATAATTCTGGCCGATCACTCAAAGCTTTACGTTAGTAAAAGTAAAAGAAAAAAAACAAATTTCAAAATTTCGTAATAATATAAATTAAATCTCCAAAAAAATTTTTTTTATTTTAAAAAAGTATCAATCCCCTCACCTGTTTTTTTTTTAAGAAGATATATCTCAATTTGTTCATATTAGATTATTTTCTTTGAAAAAGATACCATCCTTAATTTAGTTTGATTTTTTTATTTTAATAAAAAGGAAATATGTGTGTATATATATATATGAAAATAAAAAACGGAATATTTCCCAATTCTGAAACGCCGATATGCATTTGAATTTCCGATAAAGTAACATTTTCACTTGAATTATTAATAAATAGTCGTTTGGGAAAGTAAACCAACGTACTTATTACTTTTTTTGTACAATATTTCATTGTAAATTTTGTAAATCATGAGATTGTCATACTTCACACATGTTTATGCATTTAAATTTAGTTTTATTTAAATTATTAAAATGCATAACATATTTGCTTTTTTATTTGATTCTTATTAATTTATTACTTTTATCAAATTTTACTATCCATAATAAGTTGCATTCAATTTGCATTCGACGATCCTACTGTTCTTTTCGTAAGGTAAGTTTTTTTTACAAGCCAAGAACAAATTTACAGACATCTTTATTACGTCCTGTTGCAAACCGAAAAAGGAAATTCGGAGACATAGTTTTGGCCCAAATTATGAAATCACGTCGCTAACGCTAAGCTGCCTACTTGATCACAGCAGAATAAAAATTCAAGAAATTCAAGTGAAATTTAATTTAAAACGAAAAAAATAATTACTTGAAAAACACACTGCGTCGAAAAATAAATGAATTGATTATAGTACTGCGATAAAAAATTTTCACGACATATATTTAAATATAGATAGATTTAGATTATGATAAAAAGTACTTAGCATACTGGAATAATCTTTCATTTTCAATTCTTTAAATGCAAATCTATTTAGATATAAGATTGTTTAAAAAATTTTATTTTTTTTTACGTTATATTTTTACAACAATCAAATAAAGGTTTGGAACTAGAATGAGTAGAATGAGTAGATCCGTGGTGATGTTTCTGTAAAGATTGTTGATACATTTATAATTTGATACTCAAAAGTGTCATGAAATTCTGTAACGTTTAAGATTAATTTCGGAACTTATCAGTTGAAAACTATTAAGTTTCAGTTGTGATGAACTTATCGCAATGATAGCTGGAGATCATGTATACACCAAGGAATCCTCAAACAAATGCGCAAATCATTCATTGACAATAGAAACAAATTTAACGAAGTTATTCATTACTTGTTAGAAATTTTAAAAATCAAAGAAAAGGGTGTGTTAATAAATATATGTAACATTTTATATTTGTTAATAGGTTCTATGAATTAAATTAATTTATATAATAGAAGAATTCGTTAAATGAACTTTTTTTGATCAATTACGATAATAATCGACAACCATCTATGAGTGAAATATAAGAATTTGTAACCGAAGAGTTGCATTCAACCGCCAATGCAACTTGCTGCAATTGATTATTTCGACGAGTTAAAATTGAAAAGATTGGCAGCCTTAAAGTATTAATAGAATTTGTTCAAGAGTTTTAGAGTATCATGGCAAGGAAAGGATCTGAAAGTACTGTAGTAAAAGAGTTGGATTATTTGATTAATAAAAATTTGACTATTCTTTCACAAAGTGGACAAGTTATTAGTAACAAGTTGACGATGGTAGAAAATTTATAATTTATTTATTTTGTTGTTATAAGAAAGGCCAATAATATTGCAATGAATATTGATAGGACTATGATTCTCATATAGTTCATAAGATTTTATTATTCGGCTAGTAATAAATAATTTTACAGAAATTATGATATCTACACTGAGTAATAAAATCAATTACATAACATATAATGCTATTCTTTAAAAGAATTTTCTTATATTGATATTTTTAAAAGTATTAGATTCTTTAATTGTCAAAGTTTAGATTGTAGATCTCAAATTTTTGATAAAATTTGTCACAGACTTGTCCAAATATATTTTAAACCATTGTTAACATTGTTCGGCACAATGTTTACAATCTTAACTGAAAATAGTATAGTAATTTTACTTTAAATGATGAATTTTACATAATGGTGTTAAAAAAAATAAATAAATAAATAAAAGAGCACCAATGGTTATAAGATGAGCATTGGTTGAAATATATAGTATATATAGTAAAATTGAATCTATTTAACAGATACATTTTAAAATAAAAGTATAAATCTAATTTATAAAATTTTTCTATAGCTATCGCTCGCGCTGTTTTTTCTGTTATAGTAACTACTGAAATATATCGCTTCCCATCTTTACTTAGGTCTAACTGACTGTATCATGTATATAAAACGGTCCTTAAATCAAGAATGATTTGATTTGAAAGAAAGATAGAAAACAAATTTCATTCAATATGTCTAAACTCTTTGCTGCAAAATCTTGATTACAATCAAGTTCATATAATAATTATAATATGGTATTACAAATATTGATACAGACTGTTGAAAGCTGTGTTATGTCCTACATGCGTGTGGCTTGTTTTTATTTATAACCAAGCCGAGAATTGTAATAGCAAATAAGCCCAGTAAGACACGAGAAAAAATTCTGCAGTTTTGGGTAGAATTATATCTATATTAAGTAATGGCGTAATGCTAATAATCACTAATGCTCGCCATTGCGGAATTTTTTTAATCTTTGGCTTTTGTTTTGTTATTATAATGAAAAGCCACATGTACACAGCACAGCCTTCTGAAGCCTGCAGGCTGCAACACAAAACTCTATATCACAAACATATTGAAATATATATTAACTTGAGTTACACTACTTTCATTCTTTTCATTACACAACATTTAATATCCATTCTTTTTTACAAATAAATATAAATTATTTTCTTTTTTTTGAAACAAAATGTGAAAATGCGTACCGGGAAACCGGGAATGATTAAATTGGTGTGATGATCATTACTTGTCACGTGATTTTTTTTTTTATCTGAAAGCTGTCGAACCAGCTCTTTTTTTTATTGATAGAAGATTTAATTTTATATTATTTTTAATAATGAGCTCATAAAACTACATAATCATATATACCTGAACCAATATTACAATTTTCAGAATTAAAATTCATTTTTTTTTTATCATAAATTACTTTAAACTGCAAAAAAATAAATTTTTAATTTTCTTCTTTTTTTTTACATTAATCTTGATAATATTTGAGAATTTTAGAATTTTAAGTGAATTCAATCTACACTTAATTATTAAATTTTTATTACCAAATTTCTAAACCAGAAATAATAAGCATCTGTAATCAATTTTTTAAAGAAATTAAAAAACAATTATGATCAATCAGAATGTAATATTATCTTTAAATATCGTATGTCTTGGTTTTGCCTTTTTATCAGAATGGGGTTGAGCCTGAGATAAGAAAATATAATTCTTAATAACCAACTCTATAAAAAATTTTGTCCGTTATTTCTGTAAAACTCTGTAAAAATGGATCCATTCCCGGAAAATGACTGGTAACTGAAGAAAAATGATTGAATGATATTGATGATAATGCACGAAAGAAACGAGTTAGGTCGGACATATAACCATATACAATGCTTTTGCGATAATTGTTTAAAGAATAGAAAGTTACGAAAAGCTAATTACGAACAATAAAAAATGCAAATACAAGTTTAAATTATAAAAAAATTAACAACTTGTTTATACTGTATATATGTGTTTTTTTTAATAATTTTATTCTCAATAAAGGATAAATTAATATTAACTTTACAATTGTAAAAATGTCAATTCTCAGCCAAATATTTTTGTTGCGCAGCGGGAAGAGACAGTAAAATTCGCAATTAGTGAATATTACTTAAAATGTATAAAAATTTCATATTACACTATATATTTACAACATACAGAAATGTTTTTATTTTGTTCTTCAGTTTAAGAAAACTTTACGCTATTTAGATATGATATTGATATGGAGAGAACATAAATAATAAAAGTAATTCATGCTCATAGTACTATTGAATTTTTCAGCATAAAATTGCTGGAAATCTATATTAGCATAGCGAGTTTTAAATTCTATTACAAATTATTAAAATTATAACAGCTTGAATTGCCAATTTGGCATAATATTTTAGTAGAAATATTTTTTCTATAGTGTAAATTAAAATTCTATAATGCGAATATAATGCGAAGAATCTTTATGAAAACTCAATTAAGGTTAGATAAATTTTGGCTTTTAAATATGATTTTCTTTGAAGATGTTATAGTACATACATTAGTTTTGAGATGTTTATTTTCGGTTAATTGAATTATCAAACTAATTGTTTAATAATATGATCCAAATTAATCTATATACAATCTACTATTTACCTTATAAAAATCTCAATTGTACTGCAATATCTGACGGTATTCCCACAAGTATAAGAAATTTGGCAGACTCATAAAATACATCACGTGTCTACTATATTTTATATTAGTAACAGATATTAAATTTATTGATCAAATATTTGTATT